GTTGCCGCTTTTACAACCACGTTAGATCTGATCAGATTGATCAGATGCTCTCTTTGTTCGTAGTCGTGGAATGTTAGATTCCATGCCCCACAGTGGAGACACTGAGATTAAGGCATTTTCTTGGCTCTGCCTCCAATCGTTCAAAGTCGTCCAACAAATTAATATGAGACCTCTGGAAAAAATAAATTAACCTCTTACTAAATCGGTTTAATCCTGTAATTGAGACGCCTTATCAGAACTATTCCATGAAAAAAACGCCGTAAGAGCTTATGCTTTTAGTGAAAGGACTGGAACACTTTACCTAGTTTCTCTGTATATAGGTATTCCATTTTTCGGGTGCTACAACTGAAGACAATTCCCGTGCGTCTCTGAAGAAGTGAGAAGAGATAAAGTGCCTTCAATTTTGAACATGCAACACGCACATCCGTGGAACACGAATAGTTGCATCAGTAAGGCGTTACACGTTGCGATGAACTTAATCTAGTCTTTGTGAAGCGGAAACGCCTCCAATTTTTGAATTTGCAACACGCATATCCAAGAGAATGAAAATATAAGCCCAAAAAAAGAAAAAAAGAAATATCGTAAATTTTTATTGAAAACTGTCGAAACAAATATATGAAAAATAAGTTCTAAAATGTTTTTACATTAACCTGTGAATTGTTTTGATACTTCTTTCTTAATCTATCGCATTATATATCAAAAGTCGGTCGGAGGGGAGGGGGGCATCTTTTTGCATTTCAAATCAATGACTAGCCCGTTGCTGGCGTAATTTTCAGTCTTTTGACCGACCAGTTTGCGGACCAGCAATGGGGGTGACCTGTCCACGGACGGGATCAATATGTTGCCCACCATTCTCCGGACTGGCAATTTTGCCAAGGGGTTATAACAGAGTCATTGCTCATGATTTGGAAATAATGAAACATAAGACAAAATCAACGTGAAAATCACGATACAAAAATCGGGTTTGCAATTGAGTCGAAAATCATTATTCTGGTCGAAAACTTGTCGAGGTTTTTTGATTGACAAATAATACAACAGAAGCAAATTTTTCTCTTGGTGAACCAAAAAAAGAGAGAAAAAAATAGTTTAATAAATTAATTATACAGACGATAAAATTAAAATAATCGACCGCCATGAATCTTTCTCGGAGGGCCACGTTTTATCCCCGGTTTATATCGCGGTCTGGAAAGGGTTAGAGAAGATTACCTTGATAGGTTTCAAGACTCTAACCCTGCGGTGATGCCACTTCGCAATACAAGTTTAAATTTTAAAGCACAAAAATGCTCGACTCCTCAGTTTTCGTTCTGCATACCTCCATAATTCGTTTAAAATAAGTGACAGTAATCTACAGCGAGATTCAGCTGCGTCATGCGTCACGTGCGTATAACTTCGATTCTTCGTTGCGCCTTAAAACCACCAGTTATGCATATCTAAGTACACGGCGAGCTGTGATTCCAACTTGCGTGAGCGGGGTCTGTTCGCACATGCTTTTAACACCCGCATGCATAGGCCTTGCACGTACTAAAATGGAACCAAACATGATATATGAATTTCTTCAAGACGCATTCCCTCCCTCAAAACATCCATCCGTTAAGCTCAGATGATCCAATAGTAGTCACCGAAATTTTAAAACTCTTTAAGCAATTAAAGTTAAAAATTTAAGGTTTCCTGGTCCGCGATGTAAATAGCCTGGTTGCTGATCGTCGTAAATTAACTAACCAATCAGCCAAATCTATTTTTACCATTAAATCAAGAGATCTCTATTTTTAGATCGAGTACATAGAGTAAACCGATGTAGAAGTTTAAATTCAAATTTTTCTATGTTTTTTTTTCTTCTTTCTTGTACGGCATCTTATGCCTTTTAGATATTTTGAAATTTTTGGAAGAAAAACAATTTAAACCAACTTTCTCTCTCTGAAAAAGACAGGTGCGGGGTTGATATTTGATTCGATCAATTTAGTGACGCGCGTTTTGTTAGATGCGCCAACCCTTGTAGCGACGAAAATATTACGTTTTTTATGAGACTCAGCGAACTGGTTTTAAATCAAAACGAATGAATTTAAAATAGAGAATGTGTGATTCACCAACCATGGACGTACATAATAACAAACATTCTTGAATATTTCAATATAAATATACTAATTTATTAATTTTTAATTAAAAATCAGTCGGCTTAAGCTCACGAAAAAAAACCACACAATATTTGTGATATCGCCACCTTCCAGCCAAAATATCACAAGCGCCATGCGACGTTTCAAAATCTCCACCACCATTTTATTTTTTCACAGAAAAATTGCTCAACGAAGCTGTCCGAAAATTTCAATAAATGTTCGTTGTGCTGCCGATAAAATTCAGTAAAATTATCAAACGGATCCAATCAACAATTTCTCTGTAAAAAAATAAACTGGGGGCGTAAATTTTAAAACCTCGTATACGGCGCTTGTAATACTTCAGTGTGAAGGTGACGATATAACGAGCAAACATCTTGCTCATTGAACTTCGATAAGTTTGGCAACCCCGCGAAGGAAATTACATGCTTTAAGTAACCCCTCTTTGGTCACATTGACTCAATCCTCTCCTCGAGGACGCATCCCCTGTCTCCCTCTAACTCGCGGCCTCTTCCATCGATCATCTTTCTCCCACAATTTCTCCCTCGCCCTCTCCTCCTCTCCCGGCGCGCGGCGGCCACTGGCTGTCTACATTCCTTCAAGCCCACCTCTTTTCATTTACATCCCTTTTCTTTTAGTCTCACGGGTCGCGGCGAATCGGTGACTTGCACTCGCCGAGGTACAAATAACGAGAGAGGCTCCGAAGCCGCAACCGTGGTCATGCTCCGCAGAGAGTGTGTGTATTCTCAACGTCTTTCGTTTCAACACTGCGCCGGATTTAGAATTTATGGGCCCCTCCGGCAAAGTAGCGGGGGACGCCCGGCGCTCAACTTTGTGCAGGGGGACTCTTCCCCTCGGAAATTTTGAAATTTTATCCCGGCTGGATTATGTCCAGAAATATTAGTAATCGACGGTGAAACTACCAAACCACGTATCTCGGTTTGCGACGTCGCAGACTTCCTGTCATACTTTATTTTTTAAATGAAAAACTACTTAACGTCTAGTCTTGAAAATTTCTGTGATTTTTCCTCTTTGTGCGGAGAAAATTCTGTGAAAATTTCAAGGAATGATATTGATTTGGTCGACTTCAAAAAAATAAAATGCGAGCGTAGATTTTTAAACACCGCAAACGAGATGCGTGGTTTGGTAGTTTCACCGTCGTAATGCAGCTGAAGAGCACTGCCGTGCAACAGAAGAACGCCGTTAACGCCATTTTAAATATTTTGGAAACGATATATCGTAGCAGAAAAACTCATGTACCTTGAGACAATGTTTTTACAGAATTATTTTGCGAATACTATGAAGAACTAGCCCTGAAAATTTGAGGTGCATGGGTAAAACAGTTTTTATTTCATAAAGTGTTAAGTGTTAAAAAACGCGGGAAAATCTTGATGGATTTACGACGTTCTTGATTAGCACGGCAGAGCAGTGGCGTGGCGTGCTTTGCGATGTATCGATTGATCGGTCATTTAAACCTATGGAAAAGCACCGATAAACAGGGTAGCAGCGAACACCTTAATGATCGATTATTTACCCCAGCTTCAAATGGGGAAATATCGATAGATCGCAAAGCTTGCCACGCCACTGCAGTAAGAGGTGAAAAGCGGTCGTCGCTTCAACTACATCTGAGGATTTCTTAGGGGCCAAAGCCAAAGGGACTGAAGTAATGGAACTAAATTAAAAAGGAGAATGTTCAGTTACAATTAAGTCAATTTTTTTTGGAGGGGGCGTCCGGTTATGAGTAGTTTTGAGCTTAACCAGCCGTATATTATTTTCTACTGATAAATGATATCTCCATCTATTAATGGGTGCATGAGTTGTCCCGAAAATTTCAGGGAATTTTCATATAATCGCAATAAAAAATTAGAGGACAATTTGCAACCGTACCTGACCAAGTAAATGAATTGGTAAAATGAAATGTTGCGATGCAATTGTGCTATCTTGATTCTAACCTCCTTGTATTAAAGAATTGACACTTTATAGCTATTTATCATTTAAGCACGAAGTTAGCGAAATCAATTACTTAATTCCTCTCTGCCTTATTATCTCTACTCGTAATCAAAATTTTAGAGGGAACTCCAAAAAATGAAAACTATGTTCAGTGAATTTCTTTCTGATTTTCATTTATTATTTAAAAGTCGACTTAGAATTTAAAGTGGTTTTATTCAATTTAATATTTCGAAAAATAAAATAAAATACACCTGAGAATTTGAGGTTTTTTTCTTTATTTTAGCAATCGGTATCCAAAGAGGGAAACTTTTGAAATAGGGTACTCTATATCATATTTTATGTATATATTTTTATATTGAAATGTCATTTATAGTTATCAAAATTTTCTCACGCAAAAAAACTCATTCATCTCAAAAAATAATGTCATGGAATTATTCCGCGACATTACAGCATACACACCACGTTGGGAAAATCAAAAATATTCGGCTTCAAAAATCACACTGGATAACAGCACCAGTCCGTGTCACTTGGTTTCTTATTAGTTTTTGTTTGTTTTGTTATTTATTTATTTGTGGGGATCGTAGCAATATTTGTTCAACAATCGACAACTGAAACACACCTTTTACAACGCTTCCGATCATTCGTTGGAGCTGGGCGAACCTTGTTTCTCCAGCTTCACTGATTAAAACCATTCACCCTGGGTTGCGGACCTAGAGTGGCCCACGCGCAAATTCAAAATCTCCCGCCGAAATTCAAAATTTCCCGGCTAATATGCGCGCGAAGGGCGTTACCGCCGCGTCGCTCTACACCCCCTCCCAGCTCGCTCTCCCCCTCCCGCAACCCTATTTCTGGCATCTGCCATTTTTTCCGTCGCGGCCGCTTCTAGCCGGCTTGGAGGGGAAACCCTGCGTGCGTGAGTGCAGGCGTTTGTGTGAGTGCGACAAGTGGCGCCAATCCGACCATCTCTCTCGCACACTCCTTTGTTTAGATCCGTCGCCAGGCGAAGCCAGTTTCGAGGTTGGCCGCCTCCATCATTTCCATGTCGGTTCCCTTGTCCTGTCCCGGATTTCGTGATTATTTCCAAACCAACGTGAGTGTCTTATTTTCTTTAACGATTTAATATTTATCCCCGATCGTTTGCGACTCATCCATGTGACTAGAGAGAATCGCCGAAAATTCCTCGCCTCAGACCTTGCAGAACGTGAACTTGAACGTAAGTTAGCGTCTCCACGCCTCGCGGCCCATGTGCTCCTTCCTTTGTCCGATTTCGGCCGGCGTAACGTGGTATGTTCAGTTGGAATGAAGTTCTTTTGGAATTCCTGAATTCTTTTTGGCCAGGTATATCCGCTGAAGGTTTCCTCTCGGTTTTTCAGTTTTTTGATCAATTTCGTAGTAATGCGTGTTCCCATCACACCCTCGAGGATTTGAAGTCTGGCCACGATGCGCCGGTAACTGACCATCCTCACATTCTTCTTCTCATCACTTTCTCTTTATGTGTTCACTTTAGTTTGTTGCATTATTTCAAGTCTCACATTGCTTGTTCAGGCCGGTTAAGCGGCATTATTACATGCCAAGCCGAAATTGACTTAGAAATTTTTGAGGTTAGGAACACCCACTGATTGTGAGAGCGGTCTGATCAGTTGAAGTCCGGCTTTTTGTTCTAGTTAGGATTAGATATGTTTCCCAAGTAGTTAACCGACCAGTGTGGAGAGATTTTGTTGAGTGAAGTTATCTATGTAGATTCTGTAGATGCCTTGATGTCATTTAGGCCCTAAGTAATGCCGTGTGCTTCCCATCTGCTCTCTTATCCTTTGTCCCTCTCAGATTCATCCTGTCACGTTATTTGATTTCTGCTTTTCTTGAAGCATGCATGGTGCTCCGGAAGACTCATTACGCAGTAGTCTGCTGTAGCAGAACAGTCGCTTCTTTTGAGCTGTTTGTTATGCTGCATGATTGCGCCTTTCTCTTGAATAGCACCTAACCTGATATAACCTTAGCCGCTGAACTCCAGAAGCAACAAAGTAGTTGTCCGTGCAAATTAATTTTATGAGAATGATAATTATATCTGTCAGAATATTTCTTTGTTCTTTGTCGTCAAACATCTTGCCTCAACTGATACATTTAGTTTCTGTAGAATATTCTTTTGACGGAATGCTAATTGTGTGTCTCTTTGTTACAGATCTCGTATGCCACCGACATTCATTGTTATGGTCATTTGAGTACCCACTGCAGAGGATGTCACCCCCTTGGTAAAGGCCGGCTTTTCGCGTACTTGGTAAACGTTGGCTCGTCTCTCTCATTAAATGCTGGCTTGTTACCTAATCGGTAAGTATTGTCTTGTCTTACATTTACAGTAGCAATGCTAAAATCCTTTGGTTCAATGTCCCATGTAAATTATCTCCCTTTAAGCCTTTCACAGCCACTAAGCAGCAAACCAATGGTGTGCATAATTGATTCACTCATAGCACAGGGTTTCTGAGTAGGCCGTAATGTACCCCATTTTATTCCTGCATTTCCATGTCTTAGAATGTAGTCACACTCTGAAAAGTTGATCCACTTTGTTTGATCAAAGAATTGGTATGTGCGAAAATGTCTGATGTTCAATACAGTATTTTATAATTTGAGTGAACGATTTTATTTTAACTTAAAGACGCCATATGGTTCAAGACGCCAGGAATATAGTACAATTATTAATAATTCCCCAAGTTTAATCCAATGTCTTCCAAAGAGATCAATCTCATTCATCAGTGTCGTGGTGCCAAAGAAATGCCTCCGGATTTATGAAACCCTGTATTGGGTAACAGACATTTTCGCATAAGTTGGATTAATTTGTGTGATGAATTTTAGTATTATTAAGAAAATTCTTAGAACCGGGGAAAGAAAAGAATAGACCAATTGGTGGCCTAGTGCTAAACCTCATTTTTCCTTTGCAGGTTTCAACAGCTCTGCATCTGAGCATTCCCATTTTTTGAAGGATAGAAATCCAACCTTGTAGCGTATCATTTATACAGAATATTCACTAACAGAAAAGGGAATTCCAGGAAGTTTTACAGGAGGTTGTAAATGGACCTATGTGATTTTGCACTTTGACCATCGAAGTATCACATCAGGAAATGGTACCTTTCCTAAAACATGTTTGTGCTAACCAATAGACCGTCTGATGACAGTAGCATTCAGGTTGATGTGACATTTGTCCATTCCTCTTTTTCCATGGTTCTAATACTCAAACAGTTCTCGTACTTATATTTGGTATTAAGAAATGCCTTGTGTGTACGATCGTTTTGTAAATTTTTCAAAAGTAGTCTAATTTATTCTTAAGTTGTCGATCGTAAGGTTTTGCTTTTCAAGCAGCATATTTCTACATTATTTTTAGAACGCTCAAATGTTTGCACTAGAAAATTTTAAGGAAATATGAGCATTATTTTCTTGCAAAATCCATTTTCTATCAGGGAAATTTGGCAGCATTCATATGTTCATTCAGTAAATTGTCCTTAGCCTACCAGAGTAGCAGTCCTCGTGGATTTTAGAAGAGCTTTCATGGCTGAACTTAAGTAGGACTAAGTTGATCAGGAAAATGAAGAAGTTTTATAATGCTTTCAAAACTATACCACAAGGTGACAGTAAGAAATGAGACATAAATTATCAAATGAAATGCAAGTTACGCTTAGAGCACCATAGGGAAGTAGACTGTAGCCATCGCCTTTCTTATGTATAGTAATGATTTGAAGGAGGTGGTGACAGAATGTAAGTTAAGTTTACTTGGAGTATGTTGTCCAATTAGGTCCTGCAATTTTTGGTTTGCTTTTGAGACAGAATGCACCACTGGTTTTCCTGTGCGTGTAAGTGTATTTACCAATTAGCCAGAAACTGTTCCTAATTGCGAAGTGATTTCCATTGGCTGAGCTAGTAATAGGGAGAGAAAACGGGAATCTAACAGATTAGATTTTTTATTGGAGGCAGGGATTTGAAAATGGGTCGTGGAGATTAAAATAGCCAATGAGGTAATTGAAACAGTTCTAGAGATAAAATATTTAGCAGTGTGATCTTTAGGAAACATATGGCTTAAAATTGAAGAAGCCCCAAGGGAAAGTAACGAGGGCATTTAGGGGCAAAATCCGCATGTTTTGGAGTATGGAAGACTTCCTATATGGGGAAGAGTTGCTCTGCACATCATGTCAGAACCATTCAGTATTTTCAAGGAATCTGTATTCGATCAAAGATCCAAGTGGCAATGACATCTTCATCTGCCAACTTCCGTGTATCATCATCAATTGCACTCATCGCTTACTCTTCTTCCGGATTCAACCGCCGCAATTTAAATCAGATCTGTGAACTTGGTTGGGTGGTAACTCCACACCACCGTTGGCGTATTAATATCCAGCCAGCGGGTGTGTAGTTCCTCCTCATCTTAGTTTCTTTTCATCTATATCTCCACAGACTGCAGCGAAGATGGACCATTATTTCTGCATCAAATCTTGATGGAAAGACACTGCTTTCAAGGTTTTCGCCCCTCTCTTATTTAGTCTCTAAGTCTATAATTTTAAGAAATGAATACTTAGACTTGGGCAAGATCAATGCCGAACAACAGTAGAACACAAATTGTATTTCATTATTATTCTCATCAACTAAGGCTCATTCAAATAGTCTAATTAAAAGATTGTATTAATTTTACATTTCGAAAATTGTAGTAAAATAATCAGCATACAAGCAGTTCATATATTTTTGGGTGCAACCATTAAAATTTATGAACAGTAAATCTGTAGCTATGCCAATGGTCAAAGCAGACAAATGTGTTTCTCAATGGCAACGTTTCTGAATCTCTGACTTAGTTTCATTTCCTCTGTGGAAAATCAACCCATAAAGTCCTTCAAAATTTTCTGTGATTAATTTTAAATGTATTTGCAATGCTGCCATCAGTAGCCATCAATATATTAAATAATGTAAAGTGAAGTAATATCTGTTTTAAAGTGATGTCAGAGGAGCAAAACAGAGTTCTCTCCTATAGTGGATTTCTTGAAAATCCTGTCTTGAATGTTCGATAAGAATCAGGTTACAATTTGCTCACTTTTTGCTCGTTCATAATTACCGAGATCACTTGAAGCTAGGTAGTGTTAATCCCCCCTCTTTGTTTAATTTTATATTTAATTTAGTTGTAAGCAACTTTTGTATTAATTTGTTCGGCTCTAATATTTTTTATTATGCTCATCAAAGAAGTTGTAAAAGCGTCAATATATATCCTGAGCTGGCACTTTCACTAGTAGCAAACATTTCCAGAGAGTAACTGAATTTTTACCGTATCGCATTAATATTTTTCTACCCAGGAGAATGTCTACGCGAAGAAAGAAGTTTAGGTGTAATTTTACCAGTTGTAAGCAGAGAGCAATTAAATTCATGGATGCAGACGATTCATGGCATCCCATTTTTAAAATCTGTGTTTCTAAATTTCAAAAACCCCTTCTCAACAAAGTGATCGCCTTTTTTTTTTATCATTTTCTCTTTTATTCTTAATCCATCAATTATCACAATTTTGAAAGATAGGTTTCAGTGTAAGCCGACTCTCCTATTTTTCTCACTTCTCAGGAAAGGAGGTTACTGTATCCCTGATGTTTACTTTCTTAGGTGAAGTTTACATTTTCAGCCAGGTTTCGAAACAACACTTGCTGGATCATCAAGGTGCCGCAAGAAATTGTGATGTGGTTTGGTAACTCCACCACCGTTGGCTTTTATTTTCTGCCTGCGGTGTCGGAGTTCCCGCCCTGCATTACTTTGTTCTAATAACGCATCCAAAGCTAGAAGCAGCCCTCCGGACATCGTGCAATATCCCAACAAATTCAAACTCTTCAGTAGTTTTAACACTTGTATTTATCGGTATCCTGCTAGGTGTCTTATTTTTTGGTATTTTTAAGGACTAATATTTCTGTAATTTAGGTGCATTACTTAATTGTTCAGCTAATTCATAAGTAGCAATATTTGGTGAATTGAGTTCTTGTGAAGACAGATAGCACTCTAAATTATTATATCCTGCTAGGTATTGGTTTTCGTAGTATTCTGTGAGACCAATGTTTCCTCAAATTAGCTTTTATTATTCAATGGTTCAGCCATTATGTAGATAGCAATATGGTGAATTGAGCTCTTCTGAACAAAGGTTAAGGCGTGTTCAATGTTAGAAGATTAATATTGATAGTGAAACCACCACACCATGTATTTTGTTGGCGGTGTTTAAAAACCTCCACTCCCATTTCATATTTTTGAAGAAGTGCAAAACAGTATCATTCTTTGAAATTTTCACAGAATTTTCTTCACAGAGAAAAAAAATCACAGAAGTTTTCAAGAATTGACGTTGAGAATTTTTCCATATAGAAAATAACATACTACAGGAGGTCTGCAATGTCTCAAACCAAGATACGTGGTCTGGTAGTTTCACTGTCAATATCTGTCGTTATTGCATGTATAATGAAAGAAATTCATGACCATGGTATGCTGTAACAAAATTTTTGATTGTTAATCTTCCCCTAAGTTACTTTTATTATAATTCCTTGCATTAATTTATCGTAAATTACTTAGGAAATATTATTGCATGTCACTCATTTTTCTACAAGTTCTGATTATGAAATTTGAATAGTAGGTCGTCTCGTCATAAGATTTCATTTATCTCTGGCAAGGCATTGCACAAGGTTACCTTGGTAACCAAAAAAATCCCTGAAGTAGGGGCTCGGAGCTTTCTAACAGTCCTGTAGACTTTCAAAAATCAAAATTTGAGATATTACATACTGGCCAAATGTTTAGACTTGTTTGAAGAGAATTTTGCAGCTTGTGTAAGTAAAAGCCTCACCCATGCAGCCAGATTTTAAAATTTCTTATCAAATTTTGGTGCTATCCAAAATATTAAAAAGTCATTTGTTATTATGCTGGGAGCTATTTTGACTGAAAACTTCCATCCGAAGTTATTGCAAGACTTTGGATCAGTTTTCTAATATATGTAAAATAAAGTAGGCAGCAATTGAATCTCTTATGTGGAAGGTTGTACATCCATCGATATTTTCAAGCTGGAATTAAATGTTGATGTAGTCAAATCAATACATCATCTTTGAAAGTTGTGGGTGATTTAAAGAATTGAATGCTGAGCATTTTCCTTCTTTTTTGAAATGTTACTAGAAATATCAATGCCATGGTCTTGGATTTTACCTTGAAGTAAAGTATTTACAGTCAGAAGGGCCCTAAACATTGTCAAGTTCAACCTCTCTACCTTTAAACTGCATCAAAATGTATTAAGATACCTCAAAATATATTTCATTTTGATGGCTGAAGTGTCTCCGTTCGCGACGTTGCAGTCCTTGTCATACTTTATTTTTTTCTTCAGGAAACTAGTCAGCATAATTGCTTGAAAACTGCCTTCATTTTTTTAATTTGTTAGCAGAATTTACTGAATGAATTTCAAGCTATGAAGATGGCTTGTTTCTCTTTGAAAAATTTAAGTAAAAGGGAAAATTTAGAAACGCTATAACAGAGATATGTGATTTCGTATTTCGGCCATCATTATGTGTCATAGGGGAAATAGGTATAATTAATGTCTGTTTGTTCTGCGAAAGTTTTTTTTTATACATCTGCAAAGTTTCCTAGAGAGTTGACTTTCCAGTTGCAAAATTTTCCTTGAATTTATTGACGAAATATACCCAAACATTTGGCATCACTGTAATGTCATACTTAAATCCTGGTTTTTTCTAAGACTTGTAATTTACTGGGAAGCTAAATATGTGTAATTTGAGGGATTTTCTTAGGTTTTGCTAGTTAATACGTTTTCCATAAGCTACGAGCTCAAAGGCAGCGCTCTTCAGCTGCTTTATGCATCTTAAATTTAAGTGTCTCAAAATATTCGTTTACTTTTATTCTTGTTTGATGCTTTGTCGCAGATCCTGGCTCTGGCGATTGAAGATGGATTACTCTCTTCTCCAAAAACTAGATTGCAAGCAAGGAGCTATTCGAGCTGTCCGGTTTAATGTCGATGGAGAGTACTGCCTAACTTGTGGCTCAGACAAGAAAATCAAACTTTGGAATCCTCATCGAGGGGTTCATTTGAAAACTTACAGTGGCCACGGAAACGATGTTCTGGATGTCTGTGGGTCATGTGACAGTGATCGAATCATTTCTGCAGGGGCAGACAAGTCAGTAATTTTGTGGGATGTGGCCACCGGTCAGCCGATTCGGAGATTCAGAGGGCACACAGGGCGTGTCCATTGTGTCAGTTTCAATGAGGAGTCGACGATGGCCTGCTCAGGCTCACTAGATAACAGCGTCATATTGTGGGATATTAAATCAAACCGGTATGATCCTGTTCAGGTTCTAAAAGAAGCCAAAGACTGCATCACTAAAGTAGTTGTGACGGACCATGAAATTATCACAGCTTCTCTTGACTGCAGAATCCGTCGTTATGACATCCGGATGTGTCAGATTTTCTGCGACTTTGTCGGTGAGCCAATTACAAGCGCAACTCTGACACGAGATAGTCAATGTTATCTTATTAGTTGTACAGACTCTGTTATCCGTTTGTTAGAGAAAGACTCGGGCGAGCTATTATCGGAGTATCAAGGACACAGCACTAAAGATTTTTCTATTGAGAGCTGTCTTGACCAATCGGACACCTATGTATTATCCGGTTCTACTGATGGCAATGTTTACTGTTGGGACTTGGTCAGTAGTGCAGTTACAACTAAATACAACCACGGTCAAAGTCTTGTGGTCAGCTCAATAATTTGTCACCCTACAAAATCACAGTTTCTCTCAGCTGCAGGTCAGACCATCTCTCTTTGGGGCAAGAAAGATTCAGAAGACTCCGAAGATTGATGTATTGAGAAGGGATTCTGAAGTAAACAGTTTATTTATTTTGTAAAAATTTCAGATATTTTGCATTTACAATGAAGTTAAATCACTAAAAACTCCAAGCAATGATAGTAATTGGGTTTTTTAGGAGGGCTGGAATGTAACCATTTCTCTTTGTGAAGTACACTGATTGCAGACTGCTCTGCTGCACAGTGCCAGGTGTCAAGTAAGGACCTAAGTCACCGTAGTCACTGCCGTGCCGTTCACAAACTTAAATTCCATTAATTAATACTATAATACTACTTAATTCCCTTTAATGGTTCAGTTTTTTTGTCACTTACTGCAATAGATTTCATGAGTCATAATATTATGCACACAATATCCCTGACTTTGTATTTTCTAGTCAAAAAACACCTTTTTTATGATGAATTTCTTTGACAATTACATCAACATTTGTATTTTTCTCACAATAAATCTGCAATTTTGTGCACAAACCAAAATGGGCTTTCCTCTTTTTTCGTTTTGAACCACTTCTCTCCCGATCTGACAAGAGTTTAGCAGAAAGGAGGCTACTGACATTGTCGAGAAACTTTGTATCTGTATTGCTCTGAGCTTATTGGCTTGTCTACGTTTTCCTGTTAAAAAATTAAAATTGAGAAAAAGTATCTAGTTGGTGACAAATGAAGTCATCTTTCTCTCCAATCTTCTGGTGGGATCAAACTTTTTATGTTCATTTTCAACTCGATGTTCATCATCACCTTTCTGCTAAGTTTAGTCCTATATAGAATTTTTCCCGACATTATAAGTGACAGAGAAGACTAGAACTTCCAAGACAACCCCAGTATTGCTGCATTACATGGATAGAATTAACAGGAATCAGCTTTACAACATCAGATGTTGCGTAATTTCCTTGTTTAAGTTTTTGAACAAAAAAGAAATCATTCTGAACTGAAACTTGGTGAGTCTATTCTTAATAAGCCAAGGGAAATATACAAAATGTTACCCAGTACTATTTCGTTTAATTCTCTGTTTAAAAAATAAGTAAATAAAACTTTAATGGAAATAAGACAGCAAGAAATGCAGTGAAGCTCATTCCCGATAAATTTATCCACATTATTATATCCAGTCTCTTGAAAGTAAAATCAATACCATTGTTGGCAACGCAAGAAATTTCGCAAGAGAACAGGAACCGTTTGTCCTGAAAGAATAGCAGCTGAATAGGCATCTTTCAATTCCTAAAATTGTTGTTCCTCAAATAAAGGAACACAACTGATTTTAAGGTTGCAAGTTCAACTCAAAAAATTTATTTTTTTACGAGAGTATGACTGTGTTATTTTTGTCCAAAATTTTGCTGGGTGATTTTGGCATGTAATTAGTGGCAAATTCAGTGAAAGTTTCTGTAATGAAAGAGCTAAAGCTTTCTAGTAAATTTACTATTTATAAGTAAGAATTTTGCAACTTTGAAAAGAAGTTACGTCCCTTGATCAGAGAAATAACGATATGTGACTGTAATTTTAGGAATTCCACTTCAAAAAGAGATAACTAGATTGTTTGTTTCTTGGCAAAAATGATATTAAGCCCATGACAATGGTTGAAGTGGTATTATTCGTTACGCAATGATAGGTTCCTGCAAAATGACCATTGAATAAAGCATCGATCTGCTGGCAATGAATACTTTTTTACTACAATGGTAGCATTGATTGTTGACAGGAAAGTGAAAAACTCCTGGAATACTGTCAACAATGCAAGATAGGAAATGGTTTTCCCTTTGAAATGCCACATTGCACTCAGAAGGTTTTTCTATCTTTCTAGTTCAGTGGGTAAATTTAAAAAAAACTCCGTGCCTCCGTTTGTAGTTCTGCATGTTTCATAACTACAGTATATTGCAGTATCAATTCCCCATTGACATGCACGATTCTGGGATTTCAACTAAATTTTGATGCGAACTTTTTCATGGTCATTGTTCAATTTATTTTTACATAATTTAAATACACATTTCTCATGGAGATCCCAAAATGGATTTCCTAATCTGTATATCTTCACAGTTTTGTTTTCTTTTTTAGCTTAAAACTCTACAGTCATGCTACAGAGCTACCGCTACCTACTGCTTTAGATGAATAATACTTTACAATGAGAATACGCTAGGTGGGTTGAATAGGGAATCCAGCAAAAAATGTATGCAAATGCTAGCTCTCGCATATATTACAAGATAGGCCCAATTGGTTCCACACCTCAGCCTAGCCTCACCTCACTTTTGGTACTGCTCCTTTACATGAAACATAAGATTAAGCATCTCCATAAAGAATTTAGAGAAAAAATTAATCCATTATTCAATTAATCATTTTAGGAACATGCCTAGTTTGAAATCAGGGAATAAAAACAATTGATAAGAAAGAGAGATAGGTGATGCACCTGTCTGCATGTCAAAAGTAGGCATTGAAAACCAGGGGAATGTACAATAATTGACTTTTGCATATTATGGAGTTTGAGAATTAATAAAAGAGTTATAGTTGAAAAAAGATGCTTATTGATAATGGAATGAACAGCCAAAGTGCGAAACCACGTATCTCCATTACGTTGTTTCAATACGTCCGTTCCTATTTTATTTTTGCGAAGGGGCCAAAGTCAACTTCATATTTTGAAATTCATATACAATATTCTAACAGAGAAGAAAAATTAAGGAGGTTTTCAAAAAATTAAGTTGACCAGTTTCTTGAAGAAAAAATAATGTATGACAGAAAGTCTGCAACGTTGCGAACGGTAACTGAAATACATAGTTCTTCACTTTGGCCATTGATATATAGCAAGGGTGATATTTTCATCTACCAATAAAGAAAATTCTAAAGTTATTTTAGGAATGCATACATTGAAAAAAAAAACAAAAATTGAAGGAAAATAAGTATGAATAAGAGAAACAAGTAATTTTCTAATAATAAAATTTAATTCAAAGTAAATGTCCAACCAGTGAGGAGAAAATTGAAAAACAAAACGAGACAGAAATATTAAATCTTAAAAATAGGACATAGAGAATAAAAAAAAAAAAAAAAAAAAAAATTAGAAAAACTATAATCTTCGCGATTAAAGAAAAGCTGTTTAAGTTTACAATCTTGCCAAACTAAACATCCTTAAAACAAGGATGTTCTTTCAGATCAGAGGGACATGAGTCTTTTGGAATTTTAGGATTAACCACAGATAGAATGGTATTCTTTTCCTTCAACCTGTTAAAATATAACTTGCTTCAAAAACACTTGCTATGCTGTCGAAGCAGACTAAGGTGAATTCAGCGTTGCAAACATCTAATCTTCTGAGACTAAAAGTTATGAAACGACCACCTCCTAATAAAAGTAACGCCATCTCTGAGTGACTTCAGTTACTGCAACACATTTACATTCGAACTTCCAAGTGGAATTTCATCAATGCAAGAAAGAGACATCAATCCTTATCGCTGTCGTAGTGTCGTTCTCATACAATGGAGAAGAAAAATAATAATATCTATGAATCCTTGATTCCGAAAGTAAGTATCATGTATAATCTTTAGCAATCATTTATCCACTGTTCAAGTAACTCAAGCGACGGAAACAATTCAGTCGGGTCAAAAATGTCATATCTTCACTTTTGGAGGAAAAAATAGCCGAAGCTTTGCGGTCAGATGGCAGATCTTTTAAATTTGAGCGGGTCCCTTCCAAAACGCAAGGAATCCTGCGGTGAAGTTGTTCTGGTTGATAGAGACTTGATCTATGTTTAATATTTGACCAATAGTGATGTAAGCTTTATTTAAACTGCTATTCTCAATGATAAGAATTTTTAACCCCTTAACTTTCTGTGATGACCAACTGACCATGCATACAATGGGGCACGGTGTGCAAAAAGCAAAACATTTATTTTATAATTCGAATATCGAAGGACAATTTCTGTGACACCAACATGAAGATGAATTGGGGCACCATTTTGATTTTGATTCGCCCAAAATTTTAGCTGCTGAGTCCCGGGACTTTGCCAGAGATGTGTAGGAGATGATGAACATTGTCAAGAATAGAGGTGAACTATGCAACTTTAGAACTGACATAGATGGATTGAGCATTTCCTATCACCAGTTTTTCCAGAGAAGTTCAGATCCTTTATCCTCCAATATAAATTGATCAAGAAAGGTGTTATAAGGGATGTCCCCCTTGAATACTCCCAGGAGGAAATCCTTAGCTCCCTAGTCAGTGATGTTGATATTTTCGAAATTAAAAGACTCTAAATTTGACTATCCCAGAGCCTAGCCAATATAGAGGAAACAGAACTGCAAAGGAAAGAAAAATCCAGACCTCATAGCTCTAGTAGCCCTATCTGTAGTGGCAGCGACACCTCTTCCTCTAAAGTTAAGCGAAGAACAGGAACTGAAAACATCTCCAAAGAATACCTACGAGAAGGAAAATCTAAATCATGTAGCCCTCATCGCAAAAGCCCTCCACATGACAGCTCACTCCGAAGTAGCAATGACACCTCTTCCTCTAAAGGGAAGCGAAGACCAGGAACTGACCACATCTCCAAAGAATTGCTATGGGAAGAAAGATGTAGGTCACGAAGCCCTCATCGCAGCAGCCCTCGACTTAGCCCACATAGTAGTAGCAGCAGCAATGCCTCTGGCTCGAGGCGATCAAGGTCGCCTCAAAGCCCTCTTCAAGACGATGTCGAATAATAGAATACAGAATACTCTGCATTTTGTTGTGCACATTATAATGTACTTATATGCCTATTCTCAATACTTTCAGCGCGTAATTCTTATCACTAGTCATCAAGACTAGATGAACCAAGTATTTTTTTATTTTCTTAATATGCCTACGAAATAGGTCTCTCTCTCTTTTTTTTGCGTATATTTCTCATGTCTTTTTTGCCTATTGATTTTTATGTGCCTATTCTTAATACCTTCAGCGTGTAATTCAGTTCATGAAGCCACTCCCATCTTTCAAGGCATCACCCTGTCGCAAGACAATACCCCCTTACACGGCACCACCAGGTTACAATCCACAACCCGGAATCAAGCCGACAACGGTTGACAGGGGAACACACGTCTTCAGAGTATCAGCTCCCGCACAATCATCGACGTCGTCGTTCATGAAGCCTACGACCGCAGACAAAGAGGCTGTCGCAGATGGAAAGATCGGAGCAGTCACAACGCAAAGGTACCTATTCCTATAGATAACTTCCTCGCTTCGAAACGGTACACATTTGAGGTTGTGCGTGGGACTTTTTGGAAATATTTAATTGGAATGTGGGTCGGTTACCCGAGGCTAGAGCCTTGCGAGGACATAGAGGTGAGCATATTAGGAAGATGTCCTTTAATCCCTGTATAGAATTTATACGGTATCACGGAACTGAGAGGATCAAGCCATAAAAGAACGGAGAAAGGTATGAACTGACTGCGGGCAGAGACAAAGGGATCCTCCACGCGATCGTAGACATTTGAACAGGGTGACGAGAACCCTCGGAAACTCCTGATGGGTGACTCTGTTTTATAGTTTTTCGCGAGGGGTCGTGGGTTGGCAGATTAAGTATATTGGAATGGGCCTGTTGCAGGGTGCGGGGATTTCCAAATTGATGCCTGATTCTTATGGCAAATTTCACGAAAAGAACGATGGCGCTACTAAAAAACCTTGAAATGACCTCTCAAACTCAGGAAAAGCTGTTTTTGGAACCGACCCATTCAAAACGGTCGTTTTTCAACCGCCATACTTGTGATTGGTGGATTCTGTGCTGGTGACGTGAAATGATATGACAGACCTGCTTTCTTCATCAGTCACAATGTATTTTCCCGTAAGGAAATGGCAGCCGCTTTTCAAATGCAAATATCGAGTCAATTGAAAATTTTCTGATCAAAATAGAACTCAGAAATGGATTCCTCGTTCGTTTAAACGTTTAAAACCTTCATCAGATAAATGAGAACCGACGGGATGAACCCTAATTTTAAGGAAGACGGAAGTCGATGGGCGGTATTGTGTACATCTGCTTAGTGATAAAAGACACGGACATTACGTCAATATTTAGCCATTGTCATGAGATTTTACTTTTTTGTCACTATTTGAAGGTAAGTTTATTTCGTAAATAAATTATTCAGTGCCTTACGATCATGTTAAAAGGTAAAAAAAAAGACTAGATGAACCAAGTATTTTTTTATTCTCTTAATATGCCTACAAAATAGGTCTCTTTTTTTTGCGTATGTTTCTCATGCCTTTTTTGCCTATTGCTTTTTCTGATTCGGAACATTTTTTTCTCCGACTTTCTATTAATCTTTTTTAATCTAATGACTGCCCAAGTATTTTTTTTTTTTTTTTGCTTAAAGTATAATCAGGGGAGGGGAATCGAATTAGCTTCAGGCCTAAATAATTGTCATGCTTTTATGTATTGCCCTACACTTTTGACTGATTAACTTTGATACGTATAACTCTCATAAGGAAAATAAACAACGTCATTCAAAGGGTTATAGAGTTAGGTTAGAGTTAAATATATTTATTAAGTGCTTCATATTGTTCCCACCCTTTTGCAATTTGTGCAGATAATTTATTTTTGAAGTTTTAGTATTTATAAAATTTTTCAATTTCTTAATATTTCCTTCTCTTTATTTCGTACCCTGAATTTTAATTTCAATTCTAATTTTTTTATTGTGTTTGGGTTGAATGCCAACATCAAAAACTCTCAGGAAATTCATTGTTTGATATCTCTTTTTCATCAAGAAAGTTCCCATTCAAATTTTATATTATTATTATTACACTATGCTCTTATGTCCCAGAAGTTGAAGCTTTCTTTGAAGAATCTGATGAAAAAACTGCAAGAATAATGATACAGCCTTTTGAAAAAGGCTGTTGGGAAAGGAATCAAAAAGAAAACATGGAATGTGAGGGTATCAACATGGATCTTGGAGGTCTCAGGAAAACTGAGACAGCAAATACTGGACGTGGGCGTACTATATATAGAGTGTAGCGGTTGCAGAGTATGAGACTATACTGATATCCTGAGGTGCTTACAGCTTATACCTTTTAAGCCAGCTGTTTTGCCACTTCTATCAACCCGCCCAGTGGACGGGCGAATTCGTTGAAAAAGTTTTATCAGTAGTGCAAGTAAATATTACTTTTCTCTTACTTTACAATCTTAGAAAAATTTCCCATTCCGGTGATCTCAGTTACATTCCTAGCAAATTCAATTCCTAACTTTGTAATGTTTGATTACTTTAAGGCGGAGGTGAAACTCCATATTGAACCAGTAAGACGCAAATAGCTTTGTAGCGAACTTCCAAGCCAAGGACCCTAACTACAATTGCTTTATCCCAAAATATCGACTGTTAACTAAAGGAGTTATTAGGGACATTCCTGTTGAATTCTCCGAAACGGAACTCTCAGAAATGATTATCTCCTCTCATGAAATTTACTCTCTAAATAGAATGTATAAATACGATAGAATTAAGAAAGAAAAATACCCGATCCCAATGATCTCAGTCACTTTCCTAGCTAACTCAATCCCAAACTTCGTAATGTTCGACTACTTCAAGGCGGAGGTGAAACTCCACATCAAGCCAGTCACCCAATGTAACATCTGTATGAAGTTTGGGCATATCAGTAAATTTTGCAGAGGCAAAAAAACATGCCGCCTATGCGGATTACCGTCCCATGCAGGGGAATGTGTAACCAAAGAAAAGATTAAGTGCCTGAACTGCAAACAAGCCCATCCACCAACAGACCTGAAATGTCCAGAAAGGAAAAAACAACCCAAAATTAATGGTATCATAGCTGCAAACAACATAAGCTACTCCAAAGCCAAAACAATAGTGGGTTCATATAATGATGATTATAAATTCCGTACAAAAAAAAAACCCTTGTTAACACAGTGAAGTCATTCCTAAACCTGGGGATCACAAGTATTAGTAATAAATTCTCTCTGCTGGAGATACATCATCTCCTACCTAGATACTCATCATTTAATTCAGAACCTGACCCTCCTAAAAAACCTAAAACCTCCTCAAAAAGAGAGGAATCATTTTATACATCCTGCACAAAGCCTGCCTAGAGGCTGGCCAGTGCATTCAAGAAGCTGGCCAGTGGGCGGGAGGATACGCGGAGTGGGTGCTTACAGCAATTTAAAGAAGTCCTTGCATGCAAGTAAGTATTACTTCCTGTGAGCACAAAATGTCACATTAAATTTCCTCAAACAAAAAATCGCTTATTATTGTCATTTTGTTACCAATGAGTCTAAAAAATCGATTCTTGAAGGAGCATGCAACTCCTCCTCCAAATGACTGGAACTCATCGGTACACATGGCCAGCACATCCATGCTGTTCACTTGTGCAAGTACATCAACAGCACATGCAAATCCGGAATCGACCGCTTATTCAATAGCAGATGATATGGAAGATGACATGTTCGAACAGTTCACTCAAAAAAGGATTACCTATTCAAGACAGCGATGGGAAAATTTGTCAAAATGTATCATATTGAAGGGAGGGGAAGCTGCTGAAGGTTAAATTTTTATTCTGTCTTTAGGAAACAAGGACAAGCCTGAATTTCAAATCATTGTTGGACTTAGGGTTGAAGAGAAACGACGGAAATGTGTAGCAAAAATGGAGGTGAGAACCTTAGATGCCAAGTCTATGGCTGCCTTTACGAGAGGTCATAGCTTTTCAGGGACAAGGAAGTAATCAGATGATAGCTCACAGATTCCGGCTCACAAAAGAATGTTTCAGGATTTGCCGAAATGAAATCCGTTCATCAGGCATATTCAGCAGGCCATCTAATGCACGGGTCTTCAGACCACTGACAAACAATTCTACTGAAGAGAAGGAATATAATGGACACATCTGCATGGTCATTGTCCTAATCTGCCTCTACGGCTCTGCCCCTCATTTTTTTGCACCAATCCTCTTTTCCCAAGTTTGTAACTTACAAACATTACAACCGAACATTGATGAAGTGTACGATGAGACGTTGAAGAACGCCTTGAAAGAGTTGAAGAGAATAGATGATCGGTACCGCCAAAAATTTTTTTGAGGAGAATGATGTTCTGAAACGTTTCCACCCGGACGGACTGCAGAATTTGATGGAAAGAGACGTCGTGGGTTGTTAGATAAACTACATGGGTTATTTGAGAAACAATTTTATTTGGGAAAAACATCATCCTCACTTGAGATGACTTGGCATGTTACGAAAGACTGAATAAACTGCGCACTCAATGAGTCCGACTGACTCCCAAAAATAAGCTGCGTTAGCAGTGCAATGTAAGTGCATGGTTGTACAATTGCTGTGAATGAAATTGAATTAATGTTTCCTTCAAGAGATAGTATTATTGAAGATGAGCAGCTCAGTATTATATTGACGTACTGTGGCTTACAGAGCTCGTATTCTTACTAATTTCAATGCAACAACGTGCACTGTGCGGAGACAGTATCAGAGCTCAGCCAAATTGCGGCACAGGAGGGTGATCGAGCTGCGTTGCTCGAACTCCGCATGGCGGAGTTAACAGCAAAGCTTCAAGCAACGGAGGCGGAGCTTCAAGCAACGAAGGCGGAGCTTCGAGCGATGAAGCTCGATCACCTCCAAATAGAGCGGCAAGAGAAAGCAAATAAAGATACACAGACAGAGGTTGTGGTTGGCTTGCACCACCTCAGATAAGCGTGCCGGTGACTGTGATGGTGCAACAGCACCAGATACAGCAGCAATTGCAAATTGCAAAAAAAAAAAAAAAAAAATTTGTAACAAAGACAAGCCGCAAACTATTCATGGTGTTGCTGCAAGTGATGACAAGATCACAGTGTGGGCTGGCACCTACATTTATTTGCATAAAGGCGAAAATTTTTCATTTCAGCGAGCAACCTACTCGGGACATAAAAAGAAAAATTACGTTAAACCAATGCAGTGTACCACGACAAACGGTTTAATTGTTAACTCCTTAGGACCAAACCAATTTTGGGCCGAGAGTATCAGTGACGCTGATATTTTAAAGATAATCATACGCTGTGATTGGTTCAAATCTCTTTTCAAGCCGGGCGATATTTTTGTTTTGGATTGCGGGTTTCAAAATGTGAAAAATTACTTAGAAAAGCATGGTGTTGTTGTGTCCATCCCAATTCCGAGGACAGACAACGCTTAGCTTTCAACTCGAGAAGCAAACGAAAGGAGACTTTGTACAAAGGTCCTGTGGGTAATCGAATGGACTAATTAATAGTTCCCTAGAAAGATTCAAGTATTTCTGCAATCCTGTTGTTTCAGGTTCTGTGCCACATATATATCAAGATGTAAGAATTGCAAGCACAATTCATAATTATTTTTTCCAATGTCAGTCAGTATAGTGACTCGGATAGTAAGGAAATTGTCACTGACATGTTGCAACGGCGTTCTATGCCAAAAAATGTAAAAAAAATCGTTGAAGATGGCAATTGGACCCGAAAAAGTGTGATATTTGAAGATCTTACAGATCAATACTTTAAACAATTGCCAAAATGGTCAATTGATGATTTGGAAGCTCTATAGGGATCATATCAACAACGGCTCGCAAGAAGTTATATCGTGGATCATTCAGCGAGGGGAAAATATAGTTTTCAAGAGACAAACGATAATTCTTCGCCAGATTTTAGAAAATATAAAATCAATGTCAAATCCCCCTTTTTTTTAAAAGCTCACATTCTTTCGCGAATAAAGTTTATCACAATTTTATTTTGATTAACATGAGTCAATCATCCCATAAAGCTGTTATTGGACATTACTGTTCTTGTAAAAACTGGGCATGTACTATAAACCCTTGCGCTCACAACATATGTACATTGTGGTACTTGTTCTATGGCCGCCATAAGAAAATCGCTCCTCCGGCTACCTAAAACGAAAGTTTTCCGCTGATGAAATCCGACTTTGAATTCTCGGACTCAAAAGATGAAGGAGACAACAATAAAAGGCCGGATCCAGACAATGATGAATAAAAAGCTGTATCATGGTAAATATAATTTTACTGTCATGATTGTCTTTTATTGTATTGTCTACTATTTTTTTTACCCAAAATCAATGATCAGAATTCTCTTTTGTCTTTTAATGGTGATCATATGCATACTAGCAAATTGCAGAAGCCATTCAAGACAAAAATAACAAGCATGCTAATCTTTAGTGCGACGTTTCCAAATTCCATATTTGTTTTCATGAAATAGAAAAAGGGGAGGGGAAATTATCTATGGCATATTCATCCTTATATGTATGCTTACTAAATGGTCAAAATGCTGTACAATGCTAAAAAATTAGGAAGATCAGCGTGAAACAGGGTGCTCCTGGGCGCAGCTGCAGGACTCTGGCCTGAGACCCATATACGGACCCTGTCGTGTCAACTTTGAAAAAGCGTAACTTCGCAACTAAGCATTTCCCCAACATGTTCTTTAGCTCATTTTAAAGGAAAAAACTGGGCTATATTTTGAACACATATTCATAACATTTTGTGGGACCCTCCATATCGAAAAATTGAAAAATCCCAAATTAAAATTTTTCAAAAAATTCAATGGGCCATAACTTTGTCAAAAATTGACCGATTCTCAATTTCTTATACTCAATAGGAAGGTCTTTTTATGCTCTTTCATTTGAAAGAAAAGTTCAACTGAATAGCTGCAACTGTTTAAAAGTTATGCCCAGAAGTTGATTTTTCCTTAATCCCCTTCCCTTGTGGGGGCTGGATCAAAAACTCCGCCATTTTTTAACTTCTCTAACCTTCCTCTACAAAAGGTGAAAGTATGACAAGATTCCGTTCTGGGCCCAATTCTTATGGGAGATGCATATACCTCTTTGCAAAAAGGACGTAACACTGGTTGAAAGATTGAAAGCTTGACAATTATCTGGAAATATGTTCTGGATCATTCATAATCGAGTCATTATTGCACCCAAAACATATAGTGATGTTAACTACTTCCTCTCCTACTTTGCTTTCAGACTTGTTGAATGTTCATGTCCTCGTGAAGCCACGGACTGCCTTCACGGCCCTCCGTGAAGGACTGTCGGTGCTTGGATTTTTGAAGAGAGTAAGAGAGAATGCAGAAACATTTCGGTTTTTCTTTCAAGCAGACCCAGATGCATTGACACTCACAACTTTTATGAGTTGCTTCAATATTACTTCTAACATTATGTTTCTGTTCGGAGCAGGATTGTGCTTCTGGGTTCCTTAACACCACAATTTTTTTTAGTCATTGTCAACTTTTCTTCAAGAGTTTCCAATAATTGCTAAATTTAGTAACATCAAGGTTGGCAACATTGCAAGAATAAGACCTAAACTCATTGTCACAGGCCCAGTGACAAGACTTCCCAACGAGTTTCACAGGAAAGATGGGACTCATCCAAATACCCATCGACACATCCTCCCCTTGGAAGTGCTTAAACATGAGATCAAAATTTCTTGAAAGGTATTCGATCAGATTCCTTCGTAGTACATACCCAGCACCTGATGGAAACTCTGGGTAAGTTTGAGAAATTAAATTGTACTCTCGCCATTTCCCGATGTCCATGACAGGCCACATCGATCTGAAGCAGCTCCACCAGTCCCAGGTCCTTTTGTTCCGTATTGAATCTTCCACTTCTGCTAAAACCTTGTCGATGTTGATTATGGTATCGTCATCCGTTTTCAAAGCATAATCAAAAGCGATGTTTTTTGCCATCCTGTCAAAAAACAAATTGCTGATCAATTTTCGGTCCAAGCTCACACTGACTAAAAATAATGAAGAAAGCATATCCATGTCTGATGAACAATGTCGCTTACCTACAAACTGACAATTTCATAAGACAAAGAAAAACCTTGGCCATTTTTGTAATTTTGAGGTCATGTTTGCAATTTTCTATAAATTATTGTGCTCCTATGCGGGATTAAAAAAACTAAAAACAGCAGTTTGCATGTCTTATACTGTAGAATACGGCAAAGTCGCTGACTCATGTTTGCCAAAGTTAAGCCGTATTGTTCCATAGCGATCCATATTCAAGTAGGTACATTCTTAAGGATTATTTCTAAAACAATTATTGAGAAATGATTGAGCTGAATGTGGTACAAAGAAACCGAGTAACACACCATGGAGTAGACAAACAGAGGTTTGAAGTTTTTTTCTCTTCAAGGGACCCAGTGTTAGACATTAAGTTCAAATCAATACTTTATAACTAAATATTTTTAAAAGCTTTGATTGATTAATGAGTGTCTACAGAATTTTAAGAAGGAAAAATAAAATCTGTACCGGTTTCACATTTTTTCCTGACTATCAAGTCGTCATTTAATAAGTTAGTTAGGACACTAAACAATATTGAACAATCATCAGTAATTCTGAGGTTATTTTTTGCCATTTGCTAAAGATTGCGAAAAATCAGAATGCCTTGATTTCTCAGGATATTAATTGCTTTTGAAGCGATGAATGTGAGGATAAACTGTTCTTCACTGAAATTTGACAATTTAAAAAAAAAAACAATCTTGTCTTGATTTTATTAAAATTTGTCGAGGATCATTGGTTTTGAACTCTCTAGAAGCATTCAGTTTAAATGAGCCATAAACGACCAAAGGAATAAAGGTTTTTACTGGATTTTTGAAGTGGTGTTCTAACTTTATCAGGGGCCATGTGCCACATGCGTCTAAAAATAAGGGGCGCTATGCCAAACATGGTGCTGAAAAACTAGTGCAGCTTAGATTATTGCTGCGACACTGCTCCTCTCTATTTCATTATCAAGAGCCGGTAGGGCTCTGGAAAATGTAGTAAACACCTGAAAAATTAAACTTCCTGGTTGTTTTCTGGTTAAGACCCAGTTTAGTGACCAAGTCTGATAAGGAATTCACAATTCATTGCATTCAAACTTCCGGTTGTCTTGTGGCAGTCCACTCTTCAAACTTGCCCACAGAAATGACTGACCTGTGCAGAATGGTCTTTGTTGGAATGTCCGTTTAAGACAAACTTTTGAATTTATTAAAATACATGACACACAGTACATGCACATTCTCTAAAAAAAAAGGAAGGGTGGGGGAAAGAAGTCGTATTATCTTAAACAACTCATTTACAAAGTTTTATTGCATGTGCATAATTCAGATGGTCATCATCCGGCATTTCCAAAATTTCATATATTGGTTCTGGAATTGATCGTGGAAAACTCAGCTACCTCTGTTGGGAAGTAAATAAGTTTACTTGATTTTTAAGGAATTCTATCCCTCTCTACAGGAATTTCAAGTATATTAACCTATCTAAATTACATTCATTCCTCAAAACATTACGTAATTTCCCTCCAAAAATAAGAGATTGAAGGCTACGGAAATTTGAGAGAAAAATGAATACTTTCAAGTATCTGCACAAACATCAGTCAATTACAAATTAAAAAAAAAAAAAATAAAAAATAAAAAAAAACCATTATCTTTGTGTGCTTAAGAAGAAAAAACGGAGAATTTTTGATTACCCGTCTGAAATGTGTCATACATCTATTTGAGCGCTCAATCAACAAAAAAAAAAAAAAAAAAATGACAGCAACTCTCAATATTTTACCAATTTGGTCTTGCTCTACGACAGAGTAAATTACCGAAAACTCGAAGAATTAATAGCCTTTTTCAGATACTATCAGAATAAATATAGAACAGGGCCCAATCTGTATTCACAAGGAAGTGGAGAAACTCAAAAAAATTAAACTTCTGACATTTTGCATTAAACTTGGTTAAGAGATAAGGCACTGCATTACTACTCACCAGTGGAAAAATGTCAACACCTTCAATGGCAGATTTTTATAAACATCAATCACATCTAGCGCTATAATATCCTGGAAAATAGAAGACTCTTCATCCAAGCTATCCTGTAATCGAATAATTTGGTTTTGCCGTTCAGCGAAGCGATACTGTCTCTTTCTCATGAATTCTTTGAATTTGCTGGCATCTGAAAAAGCACCCACACCATCATATGTTTTTTGGAGGATAACTCAGAAATTTATAAATAAAATAAGAGTGAAAATAACAAACCATAATCCCGAAAATTTTGGGGGAAGATGGAGTTCTCAAAATTACAATAGGTAATGCTGGGAAATTTAAGTATTCCTGACTGGTTATTTGGATATCATCTAATGCAATTAAATTTGAGATAAACAAAACAAATGGGATGTGTACGGCCGTTCAATTTGAAGAGCGATTGTACCTCTTAGAAGAAAATTTATCAGAATGTCTTTAGTCAGAATATGATGAAAATCGAAATTTGAGTCTTCAAAGGCGAGTATTCTCTGACTAAAACAGAAAATAACAAGTTGGATTTTGCAATCGCTAGCGATAGCAATATTCGTCATGGGAACGTTAGCTTCTGGGATATGAAAATGTTAAGGTACAGTTCGTTTGTAGTATCTTCTGAATTGAAGGGGCTATGTAATTTTGTGTTGACATCTCTTTTTTAACATTTTTAATTATTTTCTTTGCATACAAGAAAGCTGTTATGTACCAATTATTTATTTTCGTTGGATTATATATGGTTTTCGGAAGTTAACGCATTTAAGTTTCAGGTTCGCTTTTTCGGCGTAAAGTATACGTAAGGTGTCCCAAAAGCACCGGGACTTGTTCTGTAACTTTGAAAGTAAGATGGATACAGACATGATCTTGATCTCATTTTAAAGATCAACTCAATACCTATCTATTAAAACCAAGATCAGCTCAATCGGATAAAAATTGACCGAGTTATGGCAATTTGAAATCAGCGAGGAAAGTTTACGCCTACGGTTTTTAAGGAAGATTCTTCATCGCCGTAAATCGAAAAGTCGGCCGATAAAGTGATGCTTCTTGTGTTTTTTTATTTTCGAGGTGTCATTTATCAACATTTTGTACCATCAAACACAACAGTTGACAGTGCGTATTATTGCAAAGTACCAAAGGAGTTGAGAATGCACATTTCCCGGAAACGGTCGGACTTGAAAGCTTCGTGGATACTCCATCAAGACAATGCGCGGCCTCACACATCGAGCTTAACACGTGAATTTATGAGTAAAAATGGAGTTGAAACAATCCCTCATCCCCCTAATAGCGCTGACTTGGCTCCATGTGATTTTTGGATGTTTCCCACGCTTAAAAAGGAGCTTCGCGGACGAAGATTCGTATCGAAGACCGAAATCCAGAATGCAATTCAAAACTTCTTCAACTCCATCCCAGAGGAAGAATTCAGGAAAACAATGTTGGATAAGTGGCAAGAGCGCATGAAAAAGTGCATCCGGTTTGATGGACGGTACTTTGAAAAGCAAAAGGAAATTATGGAAGATTCGAAGGAAAGTGGATACGAATATTAACTTTTTGAATCCTGGTAAGCGAAAAATCTTCCTTAAAACCGTAAGGGTAAACTTTCCTCACTAATTTCAAATTGTCATAACTCGGTCAATTTTTATTCGATTGAGCTGATCTTGGTTTTAATCGATAGGTATTGAGTTGATCTTTAAAATGAGACCAAAATCATGTCTGCATCTATCTTACTTTTGAAGTTACAGAACCAGTCCCGGTACTTTTGGGACACCCTACGTATGATATTTTTACTCTACACATATGCCCGAATACGCATCATAAGGGACCTATGTGCTTCCTAAGTTGCCAAGTATTAATTATTGTTAGATTATTGGTCTAAAACATTCAATACAACCAGTAAAAATTAGCTGTCCCCTACGAGATTCGAACCCCCGCTCCCACAAAAAGTGACACTCTCTCAGGGTCAGACCGGTGTTGTAGTTAACTGAGCCATCTCGCCGCTAGGATATAGGAGGAGAAAAAGAGAACAGTTAAGTGATCTCGGACGCTGAGCGGGGCTTCACAAAAGACGTCCTTGAGATTTCAACGGTTCGGCCACTGGCGTGGTAAGAGAAAACGGATCAAGCCCATTACTCTGTGAGACATTGTTTACCTATGCTGTCATGTGTCACATGGTTCATGTCAGAATGCATTTGCGATCGCGGCAGTAAACTGGGGCAATATTTCTGTATTCATGGATTAAATCCATCAATCGAGTTCTGATTTTGGCTCATATATCCGTAACGGGTCCTCCAGAACAATTTTCCGCCTTGTACGATGGTTATTATTTCTTTATATCTATGTTTAAAATTTGAGGTGGGATAATGGCGGCTTCTTAAGAGCAACGAGGTAGGCGATCTTTTGCACCAACGAACAGAAAACTGATGGCGAAAAATAGCCAATGAAAACCCCCCAAAAAAAAGAATTTGCCTAAAAACGGAACTTCGTGGTTCTGCGCAAATACCAGTCAGACACGACATCTCCAGGTGGAAAAAAACTCGCTGAAAGCGAATTTTAGCAATCAACACAACTTGACGTAGAGACATGATTGGCTAAAAAATACAACGGTTTTTGATACATCGGAAAATCAACCAAAAATCGGAGACTGGGCGAAACGCTCAAGGTCGCAGAGGTATAGGGAATCCCATAGCGAAAGCAACGGAACGATTGTAATATCATGGGGAACTCCGTTCCCATGACAAAAAGGTATACCTCAAAGGATAGATTACAAGCTGTTCATTTTTAAACTAAGGAGGTGCACTTTAACCAAAATGAGCTTGACTGCACTTTTGGTTGCCTCATTACTTCTCATGTCATAAATTTCCTAAAAAATAAATCACAGGATGCATTTAATCTTTCGATGAATTATTTCTAGATTATAAAGAACATACTCACAAAATTACAAGTTTAGGTGCTGCTTAATTTTCTATTTAAATAGTCAGACGTCAGAAAAATTTCCACTATGTCTGCTGTAAATAAGCTGATGTCAGTCACACAAGTTTGATTATGAACCCTGAACATCACAGATTCAAATTTTAGGTGGTCTCAAAACCATGCTCATTGAACTATAAACCTCAAACCGCCAAAGTTTCGGTTTAGTTGGATATTTTACGGAATCTTTTGGTACATACTGCAAAAATAATGAAACTCTCCTCTAGGCGGTAGTGCTAATCGCATTGTGCTGTCTGTGCTACGAGAACAGTCTTCTTGATTTTTTCAATTCAGCACTTGGGCCCAGTGATTATCACAAATAATCTCAAGGTTGCCAGATCGTGCCATTTAAGTGAGATATTTGAAATGGGTTTAAATGGGATATAAAGCTGATTTTTCAGCACAATCTGGCAACAATAAATAACGGAAAGCTGAAAACTCACCGTGCAAAACATATTTAAATCCAACAAGGAAACAAGATTGATTTGAAACAGGATGCAATATGTGCACCACAGGAGGGATCTGATTAGTTTTCACATGAGAGCATGAAGCAGAATCCAGAATGAGAATCTGGTTACTGCCTTCGATCCGAATCCGACCCTCGAATCCTTTTGGAAGGAATAGCTGGTTGACCTTAGCCGATGATAAGTACTCATCTGCTAACAGAGGATCACACATCATATCAAGATCTAAAGACGTTTTATGAATTCTTCAAATTTTTATCCAGAGAAACGAAAAAATCTGTGTTCTTTTAAGAATGAGAATCTTTTGACATATAGTGAAGATAGGTGAAGCCTGCTTTTCTTCAAGATACACTATATTAGTACTTCTTGTCAAAATTGAAGTTTTCTGACATCTTTGTTATGACAGTTTTGAAAACTTATAAAATAAGGTAAAATTTATTAGGAGACAGTACCGGAATACTTCAAAAATTGTACAGCAGTTTTGTATTTCTCTTTTAAAAATACAGCCATGTTTTCACGATACACATGAGTAATGCATTTGTCAAAAGTTTTCGATTAAGGTCACAGAGAATTGTGATAAAATCATGGCACTTTGGAAAACTAAATACCATCAATCTAGGTTGGTAATAGAGTATGCATCCGACAGGACCTCCGCCTGTACCATGGCTACGGCTCTCAAAAATGGAAACTAAAGAGGCATTGATTTCTGATTAGGAGAGAACACCAGAGGTCATCCGTCCCGTTTATCTCTCACTCTTTTAAAATGCCATGATTTTATCACAATTCACTACTGTTAAATTGACACAGGGAGCCTGCGATTGATGTGTTTCAATCAAGATGTTTAGCAACTTTCCAATATTATTCCAAAATTTCAGAAATATCTGTGAGTAGGCGAAAGAACAAAATTACTGTTACTACAGACTAGGACATACCTGAAAAGGATGTATTTGTGAAAGCCGTTGCCAGGAGAACAGAATTCCTCTGATCATAGATCTTGATGTAAACCAAACCTCCATTATTCTTGATCACTTCGGATACAACTCCAACTTGCAGAATAACAATATCAAAGTTTACGATGAAAATAAATTCGCTGGCTTGTTGGGAAACTGTATTGTGATTGAAGGAACTGCCTAGGTCTTCGTTGGTTGCACCGACAGAAAAATGATCTTCCCAACTGGTAGATGCTAAAAAAATTAATGTTAGTTAGTTAGTTTATTTTATTACAGGATGACTGGTAATTCGAGGGAAGAAGATGATTTTCTAGACAGGTATTGTAGTATTTTCAATATTTCAAATTCTTTTTTCTTAGTTCTTACTTGAATTTTCCCTGCGTTTATGCGGGGATATAAAAGACAAAATTCAGCATTAGAACCATTTGGGCATCTAAAACTTAAAATTTAAGACCAGCAATGCTGATCAGTATCTAAATTCCCTATATTTCGGGAGATTTTTACCCAAATTTCTTATGTTTCACATGATTACTCCCGGGTGGTCTTATCACTAAGACCACCCAGGCTGGTGACGATGAGCAAAGCCTTGTGAGCTTTGAAGTTTGAGCCTCGGATATGGGTAGCGGGGAAGTGGAGAGCGGCTAGAGTAGACTGGAAGGGAAGGGCACGAACAGCGCCACCCAAAACTCGATTTACACACATAAAACAGCGAATATCTCGAAAACCGCATACAGGATCTCTTTTGGCCTATGAGAGCTTTTGATCAGAATGACTAGCTGAGCAACATATCAAAGTCTCATCAGGTTTGACTGAGGGGAATTTCCTTTAAGGATGGTGTGGGGTTCTTTCCTGCTATCAGTTTCTGAGGTTGCCAAAGGCCTTAATATCCCGTTTTCTTCACTTAAATAAACAAAATATAAATATTAAATCTTAACACCTGACAAATAATAAAATAATCTGACATGTCACCCGTTAATATTTTTTTTATTGGGAAGAATAATTTTCTTGATTATAGTCAACAATCATTAATAAGGTATAACGATCATGAGTTTGGGAGATGAGGCACAAAGGACTTACAATACAAACCTAGGTAAATAAAAGTTATCACAAGGATTAAAATTAAAACGGAACATTCTCCTAAAAGAAAATTAACGTTAGGTGCCAATCAAAAATTATCCAATACTGAAATTCTGGATTTCAGGTACCTTGTCCCACTTTTCACAAAAGTTTATATGTACTCACTAGGGTTGCAGAAACTTCCCAAAACACTTTGCAACGCCTGGCAATAAACACGAACAATGAGAGGGTAAACTCGCATTGGCACAAACATTGCTTGTTCTTTGTAAAATTGCAATCAGTTCATAAATGAATGGCGGAGGAGGAGGAAAGGTACCACTCTAAAAATTTTGAGAAAAAAAGGAGTTTTCAATACAATACGAATTTGAGAAATGGGGAAACTAGAAACTTGCTGCATTTTTGGTCGTACCCTTTTTGATATTTACATTCCTTTTTATTGAAATACTTCCATTTTCATCTAACATATAGCAATTCTGATCAATATATTCATCGAAAAACTTTCAAAAAATTTTCATGCCAGGTAAGTGTCCCGCCTTCTTACTCTACATGAGCAATATGAGCAACCAGACCCTCTCATTCCCTAGTATGTGACTTCCTTTACTAACAGTCTCTCATTAATGAGGAGCGTCAAAAATAAATACTACTGATTAGAAATGTGCATATACTTATTCCTAGATAATTTTCCTTGAAAACAGAGGAAATAACTTACAGTTAAAACATTTTGAGGACCACTCTGAGCATTCTTCGATGAACGGTCTATCCTCTGTAGGCACTGGACAAGAATGCTTTCCAATAACAAAATAATATTTCACTTGCTTTGATTGAGTGAGGGATTTCAACCATGTTTTCCTTGCAGCATTTCTTCTATCAAGATGTTCCTGGGCAGATATGATACCAATTACAAGAGAATATTTTGAAGGAAAAATACGGTCTGAAAACATGAAAACACAGAGTGAAGCTATTAGTCTTATCCTGAAAGAATGAAATCAATTTAGTCAGTGACAATGATTTTGAACAGCATGATTTTACAAAACAAATATAAAATTAGTGTTATGTTTGATTCACCAAAATCATCTTGAGGGTGATAAAATCTTTTATATACTTACTAAACAATGTAACTCATCCGTTGATTGACAGAGACCATTTAAGCTTTCATCAAGCAAAGTGATATCTAGGTAACTTTGAGTTCATGCTATCTCTCTTGTTATTGTTTGACTTTTTACTGATAACTGATTATATCTGTCTTTTGGTAATGTTTGATTCCTATGTGAGGCACAAGATAGGTTTAGTCATACCTACTTTTTCATTGTTCCGTACCTACCTGAAACTTTACGGAAAGTTCATTCCTAAACTAAAATATCAGACTTGACAAGTATTATTAAATACAACATACAGAATCAAGTGAAAAAATCACACACGAGGCTCAGTAGTAAGCACCAGAACAGTTTAGTGAAGTTATTGAATAGAAAAACTTGAGGATTTCATTAGGATACTCACCAAAATGTCGGTCCAGAAAGTGCAACAGAAACAGAGAAACAATGAAAATCTTCCGAAGAATCATTCCTTGGTGATTTTGTATTCTACCATCAGTCCCATAGGTATTGGATGTAATCAAAATGTAACCTCTTTGAGAGAGTTGGTGAAGAGATATCTCTTACCCAGCTTCAGCAATCTAGAAAAAAAACGATGGAAGACTTGAAATTTAAAACTGGCATTACCGAGTTAGTCACTTTATTATTCTTCAAAAATTCAATTTAACTTTCATAGCTTCAAGGAGAGCATAAATCTGTCAACGTTGCTGAAGAGTTTGTACCTATCTAACATACAGAATTAGTTTATGGATGGCGTTATTTGGCGGTACAGTATCATCGAATAAGACATTATTCAGCGGTGCAGTACCATCGAATAAAACGTTAGTCGGCGGTACCGTAACCTGACTACAAAATCATCTAAGTATCGCTATGGTGCCTTTACTGGCTGACTTTTTAACCGTTAACGGAAGATAAGTTCAATTTTCATGCAAAAAGATCGATTTTTTAGTTTTTGTATTGTCTGTTATGAGTACAATAGTTGATGGAAAAAATCGGACTGGCACCATATCAAAGTGTCATAGTTTAGACTTTAATAATCCATAGTTGTTTTCTCACCTTGGGCCTTGGGTTCAAAGTTTTAGTATATGTTGTCCGATGTTCAAAAATGGGACAAGAATGCGCAATCAGATTGGGGCATAAGTACGCGCCCATGAGTGGGGCGTAGTGGGGGGAGGGGGTTATTGGAACTTCAATAGAAGAAGTAGGCAACTCAGTATCTCAATAAATTTATATGTTCTTTTGTTCAATTTGGGCAATTGAACTTTTTTTCTTTTCCTGTTAAAAAAATTGACTTTGAAAATTATTTGGGAGCTTAAGGAGACTGAATTATTTTTTTTTTTCCACAGGAAAAGTGGTTAGGCACTAATGGAACCCTTTGAGACCAGTTTCAGTCGTTTTCTGGAGCTAAACAGCGATTTGGAGCCCAGGAACAGTTACCTACAACCTACCTACTGTCGCCTTGTTTAAGTAATGGGGCAAAAGTACGCATTTACACATTTTTTTAGAAAATTTGTCACAGCCATGATTTGATTTCTAAATTCAGACAACGTGAGGCAATAGTGCACGAGGGCTTGTAGAAGATGCCTGACCACTTCCCCCCCCCCCCCCAAAAAAGTCGATTCACTCATAGAAATACAGAAAAAACGAAAATGTGCGTTCTCTTGACCCCACCTACCCTACTGGCAGGAAATGAGCAGATACAATTTGCCGGAGGAGCTTTGGCAGGATCGCTATCAATGGTAGTTGGCAGTCCCAGAGCGCATGGAAATGCCATTAGAACAGCACATTAGTGGTAGTACGACGGTGAAACTACCAAACCACGTATCTCGGTTTGCGACGTCGCAGACTTCCTGTCATACTTTATTTTTTAAATGAAAAACTACTTAACATCCAGTCTTGAAAATTTCTGTGATTTTTCCTCTTTGTGCGGAGAAAATTCCGTGAAAATTTCAAGGAATGCTGTTGATTTGTTTTCCTTTTAAAAAATAAAATGTGAGCGTAGATTTTTAAACACCGCAAACGAGATACGTGGTTTGGTAGTTTCACCGTCGAGTAGTAGTAGTAGTAATTAAGTACTGAAAGTGTTTGTGCACTTAAATGGCACATTGCTGAAGTCTCCAGTCTGCTCTCTGGTGGATCATCGAGCGGAGAGCTCAGAGGATGACCCGATGACTCGCTGCCTTGATTGCGACTAATATTGCTGATAGCAACTTTAGCGACGCACATAACCATGGCTAGTGATGGTAGAATGCAACAAAGCAAAAACTAAATACTTACTCAGGTAATCATCGCACATAGCATGTGGACGCTGCAGCACACTGCCATTACGGTCACCGGCAGAATCGCCCGAGTTCGGATGTAGATGTTCTCAAGTCGGATCAAGGTACATACATGAAGAGAATGGTAAGTCGCCGACGGCTGCAGATTTGAAGAGAATCTGAAGACAAGAACTTCGGCGGCTTTGGAGGGCAAGGAAAAGTTTGGTAACTTCCATAAACGTATTTGTGATAACTTCACTTCAGCCGACTTCAGATCACAAACGTACAACGTTTCAGGTTTCAGTTTCAGGCTTTCAGACCTTTGGACTCGTCAAACCATACTCGTAAGCGGAGACATGCGGGGAAATGAAAATTGAAAAACGGAAAAAGAAAAACAGAAAAACACATAAAAAGTAAAATGTAAACAAAAAAAAGAAAACGACACAAGTTCAGTCAGAATCTGACTGACGTCATTGGAAAAATAAAACAAATGAACGACGAAGGTCGACCTATCGCGTTGGATTTCAACTTCCGTTTTGACGTCATCTGTTGACCCTGCGTCCTGGCCTGCGTCTAGAGATGTTTTCTGACTCGATTGACTAGTAAAAAAGATTGCTGTTTTTTGCAACTTTACCCTTAAAGTTTTCTTTATCGAATTTCTGTGTTTGCAATTTTGTGTAGTTTAGTTATTAAATTTTAATTTTAAATGTTGTTTAACATTTGCTTTCGAATTTACCATCTTCGCCTGCTTCACGAACAGTAAGGTACATACATCTTTTAGGTTATGGCACAATGCTCTTTTATTTTTTTATAGTCATTTTCCTTAAGAATTACAACAGCCTTGTTATTTCGAGTAAACTAAATTTTATATTTTGCTATTACCCTTCAAATTTCGCCATCCCTAAGTTAAGCAAATTTTATTGTAATATATCCGCTGTGATTTGCATTGGTGTGGTAAGTCCTAACCCCAATGCTCACCCGTCAGGCAACGAACGCAAGCATTTTTTCACAATCTCACTTCCTCCAATCTATTTTGCCTCCTAGATTCCGAAAAGCTGCTCTAGGTCAGTTAGATTTCTTGATTTTAATTCAAGAATTATCATTGGTTGTATATCTTTGGCGCTATACCAACAGCTTCAGAAAGGAATTCTACTCTACGAGAAGGCTTTTGAACTGGTACTCAACCACTTTTATCCATGAGGAATGCAGTTTATTTAGTACCAATACTTCATTAAAGTTACTTAAGAAATCTAGGAACTCGAATTATTGAAAAGCTCATGCCAAAGTGAAGAATTTAAATATGTACCCTGTACATCAACATCTTAGCCTACCTCTTTTTTCCTGCTACCACACAAGTCGGCATGACCTTCACTTGTGTTATACATCTTGTGCCCTTTTCCTATGAGTATTTGTTGCTTTCTCTTTGCAAGATGTGAAATCAAAGCACCATCATCCGCACCAGTCATCTAAAGGTACATTGCCTTAGAGTATGCATTACTACGAGCTCTTGAAGTAGTCAGAGATTACCATATTGAAAGCTTCAAAATTTTAATTCGCTTCCTCGGAGAAAACTAACTCAAGTACTATATTCATTTACCTAAACCTAGTTGTGTATGTCTTAGACTCCATAGGTACTTACATTTATCAGAGGGTGCTGAAAGTTCTAAGCATCCCCCATTTTTAAATAATATTCTCAAGCACCCCCCCCCCCNAATAGATATTATGGTAAAAACATTTTCCTTCACAAAGGCAGGCTTAATCTCTAAAATGTTGGACATTTTTTTTTCCCTAAAACTGAAATCTGAATGTGTTTCCTTGTTTTCCTCTGTTCTGATCAGGTGGTCAGGACAGTTTGACACCCCTGCTTTTACCTACCTGAATAAGATCTCTAGTAAAGTCTCTCGTGTATTTAACGTTTTGATGTTCATGACATTCTCTGCCAAAGGGGGTGAATTAGAGTTAGCTCTTTTCTAATTTTTTTTTCATGTTGTTTTTTTCATTCAGATGCAACAAGAAGAATTGGCATACCTAATAATCCAGAGCTGAAGATTTCTTAGATCCACGCGACCTTCTCAATAAACAAGATGACTCTACCTAGCAGTGAATCGACTATGATACGAAATGTCAAGTTGGAAGTTGACGATGAAAATCGCATGGATGTGGATATGGTGGAAGAACCAGCCAATCCCATGGACGGAATTGATTCAGAAGAAGAAGAAGGACAAGTATCTGAGGAAGGAGAGATTTGGGACTCAGGAGGGCCTGATTCTCCTGTTCAGCCTAATGTAAGTCAACTGTTCATAAGATTTAAGATCTTGTGATAAAAGAGAAGTAAACTTTTCTTTTTAATTTACTTAATTTTTTTTTTTTTTTTCTCAGCCAGCCCCTAAGGACCAATTGATGAAGAAGTATCCTACCTGCACCCCTTTCTTCCATTTGAAGCATCCAGAACCAAAACAGGCAATCTTCATTGCCCTGTCTAAAAATTGTGCAATCATTATTAGTTTAAGATTGAAAGAACAATGAAGCCTCCATATTTTTGTTTTCTTGTGAATTGTCTGTTATCGAGCAAGAAATTTAGAAAAATGTTGAAAACAGACAGAAGTTTTGGTTGCTCCTAGCAGAAAAGTAGAGGATTGCACAATTTCTAGACAGGGCAATGGAGATAGCCAGTTTTGGCTGTAAACGCCTCATTCCTTACTAACAAAACTCCTTCTATTCGTAACACTCGGGGGGTTATAACACCATCTCCACTTGTGCACTCAGAATTTTATAATTTCCTCTCTCCCCTTCATTTAATTTTAAATCCATTTAACTCCAGGTGTTCCCAACGTTCACCACCAAATACTGCATAGTCTCCCATCCCCTCATACAACGATAGTCTATCTATTTTATCACTACTGCTGTACTCTGTTTCCTCTCCTAACTTTTTTCTTGTCCTCATCGTAACTTCAATAATCCTCACATCCCTCAAGTCAGTTAGGTCCATTTTAACTTTGCGCCTTAAGTCTATTTTGAAAAGGTTATATCTGATTTATTGTTAGACTGATTGACATGTGATTGGTCGTTAGATGATAATTTTATCCATCAGCCAGGAATTTATACACCATTCTCTCACAGCTAACATTTTCTGTTTTCAGAATGCGAAAACCCCAACCGAATCAAACCGTAATTTCAGAGGTTTTACAACGATCCTTGAGGAAGCGGAAGAACCTGATGCTGCCAAATTAGAAGAACGAGCGAAACGTTTTGGACTGGACCCATCTGAGCCAAAACCAATTTTGAGTAAAAAAATCCGCAATCTCTATGAAAGGTATTTCAAACATCTTNAAAACTGTTAAAATTTACGGAGAAGGAAACCCTTTTTACGTATGGATTTACGAGAGGTTAAATTTAATTAAAGTAATCGTGATTAAAACTCTGGACTTTTTTTACTTTAATACTGTGCATTTGAGAAGAATGTATTATGGAACTCGCCCCTTGGGTTCGAATCTGCCGCGAAATTACAATCCAAACATGCGACGTGCGCGCGCAGCAGAGCCTCACTTTTGGGCGCCTCATCCCTCCCGTGTGTGGCACCCGTTTTTTGACTCGATTGACTAGCAAAAAGGATTGCTGTTTTTTGCAACTTTACCCTTAAAGTTTTCCTTATCGAATTTCTGTGTTTACAATTTTGTGTAGTTTAGTTATAAGTTTTAATTTTAAATGTTGGTTAACATTTGCTTTCGGATTTACCATCTTCACCTACTTCACGAACAGTAAGGTACATACATCTTTTAGGTTATGGCACAATGCTTTTTTATTTTTTATAGTTATTTTCCTTAAAAATTACAACAGCCTTGTTATTTCGAGTAAACTAAATTTTATATTTTGCTATTACCCCTCCAAATTTCGCCATCCCTAAGTTAAGCAAATTTTATTGTGATAAATCTGCTGTGATTTGCATTGCTGTGGTAAGTCCTAACCCCAATGCTCACCCGTCAGGCAACGAACGCAAGCATTTTCTCACAATCTCACTTCCTCCAATTTATTTTGCCTCCTAGATTCCGAAATCCTGCTCTAGGTCAGTTAGATTTCTTGATTTTAATTCAAGTATTATCATTGGTTGTTTATCTTTGGCGCTCTACCAACAGCTTCAGAAAGGAATTCAACTCTACGAGAAGGCTTTTGAACTGGTACTCAACCACTTTTATCCATGAGGAATGCAGTTTATTTAGTACCAATACTTCATTATAGTTACTTGAGAAATCTAGGAACTCGAATTATTGAAGAGCTCATGCCAAAGTGAAGAATTTCAATATGTACCCTGTACATCAACATCTTAGCCTACCTCTTTTTTCCTGCCATCACGCAAGTCGTCATGACCTTCACTTGTGTTATACATCTTGTGCCCTTTTTCTATGAGTATTTGTCACTTTCTTTTTGCAAGATGTGAAAACAAAGCACCATTATCTGCACCAGTCATCTAAAGGTACTTTGCCTCAGAGTATGCATTACTATGAGCTCTTGAAGTAGTCAGAGATTACTATATTGAAAATTTCCAAATTTTAATTCGCTTCCTCGGAGAAGACTAACTCAAGTACTATATTCATTTACCTAAACCTAGTTGTGTATGTCGAAGACCCCTTAGGTATCTACATTTAAGTATCAGAGGGAGCTGAAAGTTCTAAGCATCCCCCATTTTTATATAATATTCGCAAGCACCCCCC